TCAGGTGGTCATAATAATCTGGCCACTCACTGTATATACAGAGGTAAGGTGGTGCCTCACCTGTGTCAGTCAAATGATGCTGTGTGTGAGATAAGACCTGTTAATAAAACTCCATGCATTGTGCGTCAGGTGCCACTTTGTCAGACGTAGCGTTGTGTGTAATGTATTCAAGGGGATATACTTTTTAGGGAAGGCTTTAAGTGATGTAGAAATCATGGAATCGGTTACTTTAGACTTATGAATAAAGTTAAAAAAAAAAAGGTCTTATATATGTTCATTCCATATTTTCTTTGAATTTATATACACTTCTTTATGCTACCTATAATGGTATAATGGTGCAGCTAGTTTTTTGTGGTAAAGGATTGGTTATGTAGCAATGGGCTACAATCTCAATACAAATTAGTAAACTAAATGTTAGATTGTAATCCATCACAAGAGTGAGCTTGGAGCGGTGGCTACTTTACGACACAGGGACCATGGGAAACAAAATTAGCCACCCTCCAGAAGCAAAGACAGTGTCAGCACCAATTCAGAGATTATTTGAGGATCTACAGAGTGCTACACAAATAAGATACATTTTTTGTTAATAGTTAGGGTACTTTTGCATTTTTAAGGTATAACTCCTGTGTTTGTCACTATAAGGTCATCTTGCCCTAAAGAAACTGTTGCAAAAAAAAACCTGCAATAGAAGACTGTTAATACTCGTTTCACCAGAAGGAGCTGACTCTGATCATAGCTTCGCTGAAGAACTACAGCCACGGAAAACTTTGCAGCATCCAACACCCTTCCAGGTGTGTTGGATGTCTGGTGGTTTCTCCTGCTGGCAATGTAATGGCCAACAAGAGGAACCACAGTGCACAGGGTGGGAACACTTGATATGTCAGATGTGCAGATTACCCTGGGGGCTGTAGCTCTTCAGCAACACTATTTATGCTTATGCTTGGTGCTGAAAAGCCAAGGAAGTGCCTTGGGAGAATACGTGGTGACAGGAGACAAAGGCTTGAGGTAATAAGCATATGAAACAGTCAATCCAATGTAGCGAATCCAATGAGTGATTCTTGTACTGGAAGCCAATAACCCTCTGCAAGGACCAATCAGACCATCCATCAAACAGGCAATCGATCTTCCTAAAAACGGCTAAACAGTCTTCTTTTGTGGGTCCATTATTTAACCTCTTGCCGTCCGCCCGTAGTAAAAAAACGGACGGACAGCACTGCTGTAGTATAGTAAAAAAATAAAAACCCCAGTGGTGAATAAATACAACCAAAAGAAAGCTCTATCTGTCCCCAAAAAAGGGTATAAAATGCATTTCAGTACAGCGCTGCATGACGGAATAAATGTCAAAGTACCGCAGCGCTGAATACTGAAAAATGGCCTGGATGGGAAGGGGGTTTAACACCGCGGATGTCAACTGGTTAAAAAAAAAATTCAAGTGACAGATAAGATTATTAATCTTTTTAAAGATTGATTATTTTCAGTCTTGGTAGTTGCTGCTCCCCAAGTTACTATTTGCACTGTTAGTACGTCAGCCATGGTTCAACTATTCCAAACTTTATAAAAATGTATTTACAATAAATTAAATAATGAATATTGACATATCACAGTGCTGCCAATGTGCAATTTCCTAATCCAGATCTACACTGTTTGTAATTACTGGCTAAACAAAGCACGATCTTGTTGCCAAGTTTCCCATTGCGGAGGAACTACAGTACATTAGTGACAGGTAAACATCTTTAACAGCTCATGGAAGTTTAGGCCAGCAGCAGACTGGCTGAGCTGTGTGGAATGAGGCCAAACCTTCATGGGAGTGACCTTATATGGAAGCAGAATTCCATTTGTGATCATTTTTCAGAAGGTCACTAGCTTCAATTTCATGGAGCACATCACTGCATACTAGATTATAGACTTGAGGTCCTCCTAATGACACATTTTAATATCTTTAGAATGTGCAACTATCATTAAAAAATAAAAACCTGACACACTTAAATGTCAGTTCTTACTGCACAACTAACACCCCTTTCACACAGGTGTCATCAGTTCAGTCAAGGTTCACAGATACAAAAAAGAAAAAAAAAAAAACTTATGAAAACTGAATCGTTTACATCAGTTTGCACACCTGTTAGCTCATTTTACATCCGTTTTGGACTTTTTGTTATTAGTATATTCCCATGATTCTTTGCTTTCCCACGGCATGCATTGAGCTTGCCATGCTGTATTACAACATCAGTCCCAAAAAACTGAACCTGAACTGATAATTCAAAACAGAGAGCTGATCCATCTCAAATTGCGGACCTCAACTGACT